CAATTAATATATATGTTTATAATTATTATAATATAACTATAAAAAGAATTATTATATATTATTATTATTTATTATTATTATTTATTATTTATTATTATTTATTATTATTATTATTATTTATATAAAAAAGGATAAATAATATATAAAAAGGATAAATAATATTATTTTATTTATTTTTTTTATATACAGTAAATATATAATAAATATATATATGTACGTATTCCCTTATTGATGCTATCTATATACATATATATTTATATATACATATTTATTTATTTATTTATTTATTTATTTAATTTATTTATTTATAGTATATTTAACCCTAATAATAGTATATGTATTATTGTCCTTTTTTTGTGTCTCCTTATGTGTCTCTTTTTTATTATTTTATTTTTTCCCCCTTTTTCCTCCCCTTAATACCCCTAAAAGTACCTAATAAATAAATAAATAAATAAATAAAATAAATAAATAAATATATAAATAATTATTCTTTTTTAGTTATAATTTATCTCCCTTCTTCCTCTAAACCCTAAACCCTAAACCCTAACCCTATAACAATAAAACCCTAACAACTGTCTCTTCCTTCTCATACATTTATCTACTATTGTCTCCCTCCTTACCACAACTATTAATAATAAATAAATAAATAATAAATAAATAAATAAATAAATAAATAAGGCAAAAGGATTAATAATAGCGTAACTGTTAACAAATAAATCCTTATTATTTAGTTAACATTACCTCTTTCTTTTATTAATTTATTTTATTTATTTATTTTATTTATTTATTTATTTTTATTGTATATAAGTACCATTAATAAATAAAGTATTATAAATATTATTTATATATTAATGTCCCTTCTTACTATAATAATAATAATTACTAGTAAATATATACTAATAAAATAACTACTAATAAATAAATAAATAAATAGCTAAATAAATAACTAAATAGTACTAGTAACTAATAAATAAATAAATAACTAGATAGAACAAGAAGAAGGATGATGTATAAAAGGATTAAATAAACCCCGTAAAGTTTGTAAGTTATTAGTAATATAATAAAAGAAGGAATATATTTATTTATTTATTTATTAATAAAATAAATAAATAAATAAATATTCTTTTTTATTACATTACCCATACATTAATCATATATATATAATAATATTAATTTATTTTTATATATATTAATAAAGAAATAATTATATATATATATAAATACATATATAATAAATCCTTATTAATAATAATATTAATAATAATAATATATAGGGGTTATAATATAATAATAATAATGTTAATAATAGATGAATATAATCGTTAAATCCTTAATTAATTAAATAAATAAATAAATAGGATAATCCTTCCCCAATAAATAAATAAATAAATAAATAAATAATATAAATAAAATAAATAGATTTATTTTTTAGCAGCAGCTTTTTGTGCACTTTTTGTTACTTTACCTCCTGCATCTTTTTTCTCTACAGCCTTAATAACACCAACAGCAATAGTTTGTTTCATGTCCCTAACAGCAAATCTACCTAGAGGAGGATATTCAATAAAAGATTCAACACACATAGGTTTACTAGGCTCCATCTTGATGATAGCAGCGTCTCCTGTCTTGATAAACTTAGGGTTATCCTCTAGGGACTTACCACTCCTCCTATCTAGTCTCTTCTCTAGCTCAGCAAACTTACAGGAAATATGTGCAGTATGGCAGTCTAGTACAGGTGTATATCCAGCATTTATTTGTCCAGGATGGTGTAGTACAATAACTTGGGCCTGGAAGGATGCTGCACCTTTTGCTGGATCGTTCTTAGAGTCTGATGCTACGTGTCCCCTTTTTATATCCTTAACAGATACATTTTTAACATTAAATCCAACATTGTCTCCTGGTACTGCTTGCTCTAATTGTGTATGATGCATTTCTACACTTTTTACCTCTGTTTGTAGACCTGTAGGGGCAAATGTTACTACCATACCAGGCTTAAGTATACCTGTCTCTACACGACCTACAGGTACAGTACCTATACCACCTATCTTATATACATCTTGTAGGGGGAGACGTAGGGGCTTATCACTAGGTCTCTTAGGTGGCTCAACACTATCTAATGCCTCTACTAATGTCTTACCCTTATACCATGGCATATTAGAACTTTTTTCTACCATGTTATCCCCCATGAATCCGCTTATTGGTACAAATGGTACTTTTTCTGGATTATATCCTACTGTCTTTAGATAACGGGATACTTCTGCTTGTATCTCATTGAATCTATTCTCTGAATATTTATCTGGTGTTGTTGCATCCATCTTATTTATACCAACAATCATCTGTTTTACACCTAAAGTAAATGCTAATAATGCATGTTCTCTTGTTTGTCCTGTATGCATATACATATACACATATATATATACATATATACACAATATTATTATCTTCTTATTCTTTCTACATATACATATATACTCATCTATTTATTATATATATATATATATATATATATATACATATATTTCTATCTATAAATATATACATATATATATATATATATATATATATGAATTTATACAAGAAATATATATACTAAATATATATATATATATATATATATATATAACATTAATATATAGTATAAATATATATAATAATGCAGCGTGTTATAGAAAAGGGTAATAAAGGTGTGTGGGGTATAGATAGAGATATAAAATATAAACCCTAAAGGGTGTATATATATAATAATAATTCTTACCTTCCTTAGAGAATGCACCCTCGAATCCACCTTGATCAGCAGGAACAACAAGAAGAGCTACATCTGCCTGAGAGGTTCCTGTAATCATATTCTTAATAAAATCTCTATGTCCTGGTGCATCTATAACTGTATAATGAAAGGTAGGTGTCTCGAATTGCCATAGAGCTATATCTATTGTTATTCCTCTCTCCCTCTCCGCCTTTAGCTTATCCAATACCCATGCATACTTAAATGATGCCTTACCCATCTCTGAGCTCTCCTTCTCAAACTTTTCTATCGTACGCTTATCTATACCACCTAATTTATATATTAAATGACCTGTAGTTGTAGATTTACCACTATCTACATGACCAATTACAACCAAATTTATATGTGTCTTCTCTTTACCCATTTTCTTCTATATCTATTCTTATTCTTTTATATACTTATATATATATATATATATCCTTCTTAATTCAGATAAAAATATAAAGAAATATATCCTTTCTGCTT